AAGAGAAAGAAAGACAAATTAGCAGCAATGGCAATAGATACAAATCAAGCATTGATCAAAATGTACATATAAGTTATGAAACTTGTAGTTGTACAAAACCAAGTTGTAAATAGAAGAGGTACTGAAAGGAGGTACTGAAAGTTTCAAAGTCATAAATTTGTAGTGATTCCCTGACTGTTCTCATCAGATGTCTCCATCCTGTGGAAGCCCATTTAAACTATCAAATTTCATTTAGACTCCCATGCCTCAGAAAATGCAAATAAGGCCTGAGTCTAAACTCCTTGAAACTCAATAAGAGCTCTAATTATCAACTAGATAGTTAATGTTTTTTTTATCATTTTCTTGTGAGAACAGCCATTAAAAGAGATGTATTGCATGCCATATGAAATATACAAATCCACTTTTAGAATCAACATGCAGAATTTGACTGTTTAAAACTGTCTACATAGACCCACTTCCCTAAGTACATAGCTTTGTAGGGAAATACAAATATACAGACCACAGACCTGAATTCTGATCAAACTGGCTCCTGTGACCTCTCCTGACTCATTTCCTAAAGCACTTGACTAAACATCATGCTTTAATAACAGGAAACTTGGAGTAGTTCTCCATCCTCCTCAAAACTCAGTACCCTGGATCATGTTGCTCCTGCTGCCTGGAATGCGGTCCTACCCTGCTTTCTCCCACCAACCTCCAATTCTTCACGGAGCATTTTCCTGTCTACTTCTACAATGCATTTGAGTAAGAACAGAGGAGAGTCTGAGAAGGAAGCATATATAAAGCTGACTCAAGAACAGGGATAACTGTAACCATCATATTTTTAAACCATACAAAAACCTCAGACTAAAAGACATTTAATTTTTCAATAGGCATCTGGAGAGCAAAGTTTTTATTCATTTAGTTTATTCTGAAAAATCCATAGTTCCATTGAACCAACAGATTTCCCCCCAGATCCACTGAAAGCATGTACATGTACACACACTTTGCATCCCTACTGTGCGTCCACGGATCCCTATGGATAGCACATGATGGATGCCCCCAAATTTGTTGTTATTTACTGAAGAAAACTCCAAAGAAATAGAATAACACACGTAGTTGTAATACAATCCAAAGCAAAGTAAGGTGCTAGAAGAAAAGGTGAGAAAAAATTTAGAGTTATATAAGATCAGCCAGAAAGGCTTTCTGGGGGAAGTTAATCTTTAACTATTTGAGGAAGAACAGAGTCGTGACAAATATAATATAGAGCTGCAACAATAATAATGGCAGATAACATTGATTATACATTTGATATTTGGCAGAAACTATGCTGAACAATTTGTTTCTTTCAATCATCATTTCTTTTTAATAATCATCATTGCTTTTTTTAAAAAATGTAGACCTTTATTTTATTTATGTATTTTATTTAGTGCTGAGGATCAAACCCAGCGCCTTGCACATTCTAGGAGAACACTCTACCGCTAAGCCACAACCCCAGCCCCTCACCATTATTTTTTAATCATCAACCTAATCATCATAATAACTTTGGTCAGCAATAATATGGTGTGGACATTATTTCACATAAGATAAGGAAGGTAAGGTTTGAAGAAGTTAAGCAACTTATTCAGAGTCATGTGGTGATAGGCTATGAATCTGGAAATGGAACAAAGTTTATAATGTGGCTTGGATGGGAGAGTGTGAGATGGAAGGAGTAAACCCCTAATCCTCAGAGGAAAGCCCAAGCTAAACCCCTGGGAAGCCTGCCATGGCTTCAGGGTCAAATGGGAGAGTTAAAACAAAGTTCACTACAGGAGTGGGCAGAAAACTTTAAAGATCATTGGGAGAAATTCTCTTCCCTCTACCACAAACTTCTCTGGACTCCTACAGCTCTGCCACCCTGATGAGAACTTTTTGTCCCCCAGGGTATCTGTGTCTCACACTAAGTTAAGTGACACCTAATAGAAATGTTAAAATATCATAATAAGCAGTGGGAACTTAAGCAATGAAATCTCAGACTTATAAAGTGCTTAAAATTAAATGTAAAAAAAAATTGTGGACATAAAATGTTATACTATTAAAGAGGAAAATGATTTGTTATAAACATTCTTGGCACATTTATTTCCTCAGCAATGTAGCCACAAACTTGACTAACTCAACCCAAATAACCACTGAAATAACTGAGAAACATAACATAACTTAGAAATTATGAGACTATGCTGAAAATTTACTGAGCATGAAAAAATTCAAGACTATACATTCACTGACATTTACAGAGCATATCTTCTTTTTAAAAACATTTTTTTTAGTTATACATGGCCACAATATCTTTATTTTGTTTATTTATTTTGATGTGGTGCTGAGGATCGAACCCAGTGCCACATATGTGTGAGGCAAGTGCTCTTCCCCTGAGCCACAACCCTAGCCCTTATTTATCTTCTTTGTAAACTATAATTTTTTTCAGAAAGAACAAAACTTTTTCCCTTATATATACAAAGCCACAGGATGAACTTGTTTTCTCCAATGGGTAACATTTTGAGATGAGAAACTGATAATCATAATAATTATACAGATGAATGATGATCATTATAACAAAGTTAAAATAGAGCTAATAAATTAACATTGTAAATCAGTAAGTGGACATTGAGTTATCAGACAAATATTTGCTAAATATGGAATATGCTGAATACCATGTTAGGTAAAGAGGACATAGAGGTAAATATTAGAAAACACCACAGTTGTCCTCTCACACAGAAATATGTTCTAGAATCAATCAAAAGAAAATGGAAAGCCAAAAGTGAATTAAGTTACACTAATTTAAGAAACAAAAGAAAATGAAAAAGAAAGTTTTTATAATAGTAATGGCTAAACATCTTAGAATCAATGGGTAATTGATTAAATGCTAGAACTTCTGTTCATTTCTGATAAATTGGTATTCCTGGCTTATCAGAAATAATTAATTTCAGGTAAGTTTTGTGCAACTTGAAGACTGCCAAGATCATATATTAAATGGGTAGAAATGAAATTCTCAGGCATATATAATCCCATGACAAATACTGCAAGAGTTCTATACATTTCCACTGACAGTGTTCTACACAGAGCATGACAGGCTGCCCAGGAGCCCGGGGGCGGGGGAAGGGGTAAGAACTCAGAAATTGTAAGGCAAGGCCTTTTGCATTATTTGGAATATTGCCTCTTGTACCAATATTGTCTTGTCAGTGGATACTAACTGTGATTTGATTGGATGAGATAATTAATTTGGGGTATCTAGTTTCAGATGTTATCAGTCAATTCCAAGACCGTGGAGAGACTCAATATTCAGTCTGGAGAGTGACTGGGATACAGAGCTAGTATTGTAGCATTCTATGCATGAAGGTGAAATCAAGCAAGTATATGAGATATTTCAGAGGATATAAGGAATATTGTACAGGGTTCTCTGAGCCCTGCCCCTTAGTTGTCCAGGCCTAGGTAAGAGAGGAAATCAGTGATGACTAATGAACAAGGAGAAGAAAGGCCAACCAAGAGTGAAAGTGTGTGTGTGAAGCCCACTGCCCATTGAGTCAGTCCTTAATTAAATATGTCAACTAACATCCCATTCCAATTAGAATACAATTCAAACTCCTTTCCAAATTTCAAAGCTCCACAAAGTCTGTCTCCCTCCTATCTCACTGACTACACCTCTTTTCACTCTGCCCTTTGCAGTCTCCTTCAAGTAATCCAATCACTTTCTTTTCACATTAGCCTTCCATTTCTCAAGTACTCCAAATCCATTTGTGCCTCAGGACCTCTGTGGGTGCTATTCCCTCTGCTGGGAAAGTTCTTTCTTTTTCCCTGTTGACTACACCCCATGTTGGTGTTATCTTTGCCACACTGATTCTATCTGAAATATGCTTTTCATTTATGGAAATGTACTTCATTCATTGACTCTGTGTCCCATAAAAACACAAAGCTCTATAACAGAACAGGCTTTGTTTTGTTCAACACTATACAATTCTCCCTCCATCCCCCAAGAACATCTGTTATATGGTGAATATTCAGTGATACTTGGGTGAACATAAACAAAGTCTCACCTGATGGACAAAAATGCAGAATGTCAACATTAAAAAACTACTAAAAAACTAAAAAAACTACTCTGTTCCCTTATTGTCCTGCTTCTCCACACAGTGACCCATAGCCGTCCCAACTCCAGCTTCTACAACCTATGGAAGACCAGAGTAACTGTATACCTTTGGGGCGATTTTCAGCTTCCTTGCTTATCCTCTAGAGGCCTTATTCTCATCATCTAAAGATCTTTTCTTCCCCAATGAGATTAAAAAGTAAATCAATGCTTAAAAAAAATCTTCAAAGTCCAATGTTAGGTGCTATTGAACAAAATGAGACCATTTTCAGATTTTATCATTGGCTAGAGGTATCAGAAGGGAAAAGAGAGAATGAAGAAGAAGAGAATCTTTCCATTCAGCTATTCAGTATTTATGATAAGAAAATCTCTTAAGGTCTGGTTGCTCCTTCCCTGTCTTCCCCAATGATTCAGGAAGACGAAAGTCCCTAGCATCAGAATATTTCATTGTGTTGGTAAAAGATAAGCTAGCCATTCATGTTTGGATGGACAAGATCTCTCCAAGTAAAAAAACATGAACTTAGAGAAGACAATCAGATCCCACTGGCTCCTTACTCACAGAATTCCCACGTTTCTTAGCCTGACTATACTACGATCAAGTTCCTGGCCAAGTCTGACAAACTACAGGTCATTCTGGGCTGAGTCTTCACCATCAGGGGAAAGAGCTCCTGCTACCCCAAAACATGAAGGGAAGTGTTTCTACAACCTGATATGAAATCATAAATACAGTTTACTGCTGAAACAGTATAGGGCCCAATACATACATTCTATTCCATACATCAAGCTCACTCCAAATTAGACACATTTTAATCTAATACAAGGCTATTTATTATCCATCAGAGTTGAGACAGAGGTTCATTTCAACTTTGAGGATGGGAATATAGTCCTGAAAAGACTTCTCCCAGACAAGATGAAGCTGGTACTTGAAGGGTGAGAATGAAAACACATTCAGAAAGAAAAGGACTTTTAAATAAAACCCATTGGTTATACTACAATAGTCTGGATTGGCCAGACACAGCATACCAAATTAGCACATCAAAAATGTGCAGAATATAAAAATTATGTAATTGGTGAAAGTCTGAAGCTGTCAAAGGGAACAGGAGGCAAACTATGCAAAACAACCATCCAAGAAGCCCAACTTGATGGGTAATTAGGAAGGTATATCGAGATCAAGGTATTTATAAATTGAGTGTGTGTGTTCATGTGCATGTGTATGCTTATGCACAAAAGCAAAGGATAAAGACATAGACAAGGTATGGAATAATATATGAAGAATGTGTGCTGCAGAGGCTAACTGAGATGATATAAATCACGGATACATACAGATCTTCATATGATCCATTGTAACTCAACCTGGAGCAGTCTGATAGACATAAAAATTCTTGTCTTGGGTTGTTGGTAAGATAAAATGAAACAGCATATGAGAACACACAGAAGATCATAGTGGGTGCCATATATATGCTCCATGATTATCTCATCACCTCAATAAAATATAATTCTAGAATGCATGTTAAACAGATGTCTGGTTCTCAACCCTGGATGGAACCATAATTTCCACGGAAGCTATCTGGCAGGCTAGACGATTAACCCATGATGCTTATCAGGGAAAGGTAGGAAGCATACCATTATTCATTTCTGTTCCATGATGTGAAACACAGAAATTATCTCCAACAGAAGAAAATGGTTATTAAATTCAGTCCTCTGCCACTGAGCTCCAGAATCAGAAACTTGAAAACTATAATTTCACAAAAAAAGTATTTTAAGGGTATGTCTCTTAATGGCATTCTTCTGCTAATACTGTCTATTCTCTCTGAGTCTCAAAGATTTTTTATTGATTTGGGATACAATAACAAATTGAATATCTTCATTAAATCTATTTAAGTGTTATTAAAATTGCAGCCCCATTTAATTGCACCACTAAATCAAGACATAGTACAATCTGGGACTGACATTCATTGACCATGTAAAAGTAGTTTTTCAAGGAATACATTATCAGGCAATAAATAACCACATCTCCCTTACCACATTATAGTAAGGACAGTTTAGGAAGACAGATCCAGGGCAATATAAACACTTTCTAGAAAAGTTCTCATAAAGTTGCCATTATCTAAAGTGCTTCAGAGGCAGTCAGTATTTTTTTTTTTTTTAAAGAGGGGACATTTTTGGAGATCTCGATTTGAAAAGCAGTCCTCAGTGAGCATAAAATGAAGCAATACAAACCGATTTACAGATGCTGAATTGCATGCTTTCAGATGGAAAATAACCTGGTACCCTGATCAGATCTTCCCAAATATTTAATATCTCCATGTAAAAAAGACCATTTCATGATCTGCAACTAGAGAAAGAAGTCTGAAGACAGAAAAGGCAAATATTCTGGATAGCATAATAGAGGAGACCATCTGAGATCTGATGAAGTTAGGCCTGCTGAAGGTCAGTGTGGACACCAGGAACAGAGAAAGAAGGGCTTCCAGCTGCTCTGAAGAGATGGTTTCCTTAGCCATCTACCTAATCATAGTACTGAGGTGGTCCTCTTACTGCAAATATGACTTGTGGTTTTAGAATCCGTGTGGCTTCTGAATCGCTAGCATTCACTATGTCTTCCCCATCCCCACCCCCACACAATTTTCAAACATTACCTTTGAACAGCACCCCCAACCCAGCTTGTTCTCTTCTCACTACCCCCAACCCTGTACCGCTGAAAATACTAAAAGAAGGCGCTTTGGGTTTGTTTTTGGTTACTGGAAATCGCTTTTTATAGATTCTCTTTTAGGACAAAATAACAGCACACAAGAAAGGGGCTGAGTCGCCAGGAGCTCCGGAGCCAACAACCGCAAAATGACAAGTTTCTTCTCCCTTATCTTGAAAATTAACGGCAGACCAAATACTGCAATTTTCTCACTGCCGCCCTTTTGCCCCAAACTACCTCTGTGCTTGTTTTGTTAGCTTTAGGTCTCTTGTGGCGGGAAGAAGGGTTTCTCAGAAAACTTTCCAAGATAAAAGACGAGAACCTTCCAGACCCCTTGCCCCACCTCGCGTCCAGACCCTTTTACAAGAAAACAATAGTGAACGTGAAATCGAGCACCCCCTTTGGCTTCTCAGCGCACAATCTGGCCTGCGTTTGAATAGAGGGTCCCAGTGCGGGTCCCTTTAGCTTCCCACCGCCCCTTGGTCCGGCCGCAGGGGCTATTTGTCTGTCTGATCCTCCCTGGCAGCTCCTGGACCTCCGGGCAGTCTCCTAGCTGTCTCCCCTGCACACCACGGCTGGCTCAGGGGTCCTAGAGCCCCCGGGCTCCATGATGCCTGCGCCTGCAACGCGCCCCGAAGCTGGCAGGATGTGTTGAGGGGCGGACAGCGCATCGTGTCCCTCACCCCCAATCCTCAATCTCAGGGGCTCCAAAGCCCGGCCACTCAGACCCCAGGCCTCCACGACCCGGGTCCAGAAGGCAGACTTCCCGCATCACCAGCCTCCCTCAGTGAAGCCAGCCAGAGAGTTACCCGCCAAGGCCCAGGCGCGACGACCGCAGAGGCGTGCGGGGATCCAGGGCCGGGCCCGCTGCTCTCCGCCCGCCTGCGCCGCTCGCTCCAGCCGACTGCTGCCTCTCCGGCGGCGCCTGCCGCATCGGGTCACCAAGCCCTGGGCTGGCGGAAACCGGAGGAAGGTGGCGCGGGCACGATTCCTTCCCCCCAGCCCTGGCGGGGGAGCTGGAGAGGGCGCAGCGCCGCCCGGAGTCGGAGGCGCCCGCCAGCCCGCGCGCTGCCCGCCACGCCCGGGTCTGGATCCCCGGTGACTGCGCGGAGCGCCTCGGGAGCCGCAGGAAACGCCTCCTGCTCCGCGGTTGTCGCCACCAAGTTCGAGAAGAAAGGTGCAGTACAGATAGAAGCTGCGGGGCTCCCCGTTCCCCTGGGCGGCGAGGCTGGAGCGCAGCGGAGCCCCTACCTTTCCGGCGGGGCGGATAACAGCCGCGCGCCCTCTTCGGGCGTCAGGTACAGGAAAATCACCGCGAAGGGAGGGCGGGCGAAAGGCGGCGGGTGGCTTCAGGACAAGGTAGGAGGATCGGCTTCCACAGCCAAGAAGACACTCCCATCCCGCCCTGGTTTGTTTGGAAAGCTGTAGGAGCGAAAGTGAGGGGCGGTCGGGTACTCCCCTTCCCCGCCGGCCTGGCTCTCCGCAGAAATAAAACAGTGAGGCTTGTCGCACCCCGCACCGTTACTTGAGGCGAGATAGGTAGTTTTGTCCCTAGCAGAAGGGGAAGTGTGTTTAGAGAGCCCCTGAATTCCCAGGCTCTGCTCTTTGGAGCTGTTATTTCAGGCAAAAGAACGAAAATGGGATGTGCTTTTTTTTTTTTTTCTCCTTTCCCTTTTTCTCGTTAAAGTAGTCCTCCTAGGGGGAAGAGTCTATGTTAATAATGTCCTCACACTTGGACGGCTCTGAATGCTTTTTAAATTTCAGTGTTTATCAAATAACTCATTGTCTAGCAAATGTTGAGTTCATAGCTCCAGCCTTTGGGCACTGGGCACATAATCACATGCAGTCAAGTGACCTCAAGAGAGTATTGCCACTGCACTTAGAAGATGGGGTGTAAGTCAAAGCTGACAATGTGCTACACACTGGAACAAAGTCCTTCACCTGTCATAGCCCTTCTGGTATTTTCCTTAATTATAGAAACAGTCCTTGGAAGTAGCTCTTGTTATTTCCCCAATTTTTCTAATCAAAACACTGAAAGGGCTCAGATAATTATTCTTTGCCCTTTCTACAAATTGCCTTTGACATAAACCACATAGATTTTGTAACTTTAAACATGGCTTTTGGGACATCGAAGTAATTAAAGAGGTTTAGGGAATTTGTTCATCTGGCTGATTTTTTTTTTCAGCTATACTTTGCTCTTTGTTTCTTTTGAGTTCCTTATTGTTTTTCTATTGTTCATGGTATTCAAAATTAAAACTGTATTCCACCTCATCCCTGCCTTCCTAGACTTTTTGAAGAAATGGGCTGAGGGGAGGGGCCTTCCACTGTTCTTAGATGTCCTCAGGTGGGCTGTAATGGCAACTGTTCTCCCAAACTGGTTCAAATGCTGCCTCACCTGGTGGCCTGCTGTGTGACCTTGGGCAAATGACTTCCCTTCAGTATCCTTCCTTTTTGTCAGTAGTGAAGTGAGACAATTTATCTATCTTAGGGTTTGTTCCTTAGGGCTGAAACACAATGATGGAAATGTTACTGGAGAAGACAACATTTAACTCATTGACAGAAATGAAACTGAGCCAAGTGAATGTGAATGTGTACCTTGAAGAAGATTTCATTGGAAATTCAGTAGAAAGAAGAGCAGGCTGCTCCTGAACAAAGGAAGATGTGAGCTTTTTATTGATTTGCTGGGTGGTGGGCAAAAGTCTAGTAGTTTCCCACTGACCAGGGCACTGCTTCAGAAGATGTTTCTTCTTGGATGATACTTGGACCACGAGAAAGTCATAGTCAACTTTTCCCAGGAACTTCTGAGTTGCTCTTACAATTACCATCATCCTGTGCAAACATCCTGGCCTTATGGCTCTGTCTGGGCCTTAAGATAGGGCTGAAGGACTTTAGATGCTTGGGCTGCTTGCTGTAGCTACTGAAAAAGCAGCAAAGGTGAGGTAGAAGAAAAATATACTAGCTCCAACAGTTGATCCAGACATGCAGAGCTGAATGAATCTGACCCAAAAGTTAAGGCAGCAAAATGAAATGAAGAGAGAGATGCCAAACTTTTTCATCCTGTTCTAGTCACCCATCAGACATCTGAAAGCCCAAGTCCAGTGAGTGTTCCTGCCAGAAGTGGCCTTCAAGTCCCTGAAAAGGAATGTAGATAACCATTAGCATTATACCCACACAACAGAAATGTTACCTATAGCAGAGCTGGTGGGAAACTAATAATGTATTTTTCAGCTATGTGGCCTCCAAAAGTTGACTAAGATCAAGTAAAGCTAAAGGGTGTATTTAATTTTTTCCCCTCAGTAACAATTTCGTCTTGTGCTAGCATGTGTTTCTGTGGTTTTATCAGGGTCTCATGACAGGTCTGTTTAAAGAACACCAAGACAGAGAAACAACATACCATGCTACTAATGTTAATAATTTATTGTACCCAGGGGTTTATTTCCTTGCCCCAGCCTTTTATTCCATCATGGTGTTCCTTGACTGCCTCAGAAAGAATACTGGACACGATGTTTTTCACAAAAACCACCAGTTCAGGAAGTAAAATGTAGACTTTTAAAATAATACAAAGAATTATTAATGAACTATGGGTTGTTGCTCACCATGAGTCAGTTGCCCTGCACATATCATGTCTGTTCCTCTGACCCACCCTGCAAGTCAAAGTAATTTCCTTGTAGAAATGAAGAATTGGAGCTGTGATTCAATGCAAGCGCTGGAGACCAAAATCAGTTTTTCTTCTGGAATATCATTACTACGTAACTTTCTGTGGCAGGGGCTTTGGATCTATGCAAAATTTTTTAAGAAAAATTTTAAATTGAAAATATTGTATAGGCACATGGTTACAACTATGAAGATATTTGGTATTCCTGTGGAATTTGACAAAGGATTAAGTGTGTGATGGGTTTATATGTTGTTAGCCCTCTCTTTTTAATAGTGTTTTTGGTAGTTGTTTTGGGGCAAATGTTTTCACCACATAAATATATTTTTACTTGGGCTTTTTGTGCATTTATTCCTGTAAGGCAAGAAGGATAAGCCATGTAGGTGGGGAGAATACTTGGGACATGCAAAAATTTTTCAAAGCTTCTGAGGCCACAATATTTAGGTTGTATATATATAGGCCTGGCCTTGTTTGCAAGGCTCATTTTTTGATTATGGATGATACAATCTTTTTGAAATAAAATACTATTTCTTGAGATGTGACCTTGCATACCTAGAAAAAGGTAGAAGCCAAATTCCCTTTACTACCTTAGCAGGTCATTCAGCACTTACAGATTCAACATCTAGAGGAAGGTCCAAGAATGTAGTATTTCTTCCTCAGCTTCCTGGGGGGGGGGGCTGCCTTCCAAACTCTCATGTTCTGCTTCAAGTACAGCCTTTCCATGAAGAATGGATGGTAAGAATGTCTACTTCTTGTAGGGGAGACCTACTTGTAAGGATATACTCTCAACAGGAAATCCTATCAGATCATAGTTAGTGAAACATAGAACTGGAGATAGCCATAATGTGACAAGGATACTTTCTTACAATACCCTCTTAAAAGTTAATCATATTTTTTTAGGTTTTATTTTATTTAACATTTCTCAATGCTTGAATTAAGTTCTAAACAATATCTAGATCAAGACTGAGCTTGACTAAGCTAATCCTTTTTACACACAATCCTTTCTCCAACTCAAAGTGAAGATCTCACCAGCTGAGTCTCCCAGTCTGTTTGGATTTTTCTCTCCTGTAAGTAAACGTTTAAAGAACAGGTGCCCAAGCAGTCTAAATCCTAACTTAGGGCTATGACTCTGCCTACACTGTGGAAAAACTATTATATTAACAAAAAGCACTTTCATCCTTTCAAACAGCATCATACTTCTCCACAATCAGAGTAGGAACTCAGCTATATTTTCGCATATGTAAATATTCATTGTGATGATTCTCCCAGCATTTCCATTGCACCATAAAGGAATTCAATTCTATGAATAAGTTTATTTTTTTACTTCATAAATTTTGGAGTTGCTGTATTCTACCAGTCCCTGCAGGTTTTCAAAGATCTTAGCTCAATCTCAGGGACCATATCTACTCTCCTTTCACAGGCTGGAGGATGGGAGCAAAGATAAGCACATCCCAAGCACATAAGCAAATGGAACATCTCTATGGTGCAAGAACATTTGTGTGGTGGAAGCCATAATTAAGACAATTGACAGAAAACAATTCCAAGTTATTAAAAATAGATTAATATGCAAAATAGATAGAAATTACTATGGAGTTATAAAAAAGTAACCCATTTTAAAATAAGACACAGACTTTAAAAAGTGATTCACAGCATTAATACAAATAGTTCACAAGCATGCGCAAAAATCTCAATGTCCTTTTATAATAACACCATTTGAGTAAAAGTAAACAATAATTAGAAACAAGATTGTCAAAAACTAAAAACATTAATGAAGACCAATTTTGTTAAAAGGTGTCAGGGATCTATATATGGAAGCTTGAAGTGGTACTTCCTTTTGGAGGGCAATTTAGTGATTGTTATAAAATGTACAAGGTTGGGGTTTGAATATGAAAACCCTAATTAAAGTTCTTTAAGTTTCCTCCTTACAGTTTGACCTCAACCCAACAAGCAACCTAGGAGAGAGGAAAAGGGTAAAAGGACCCAAGATCTCTTAGCTGGCTCTGCGCTCTAGTAGCTGAGCTGCTCCAATGCAGACTTACATGCTGTGTAGGACAGTCTCCAAAATGGCTGCATCATAGAGCAGCTTGCTCAAAGCTATTATTCAATTATGGGAAGGGTGAGAAGCCTGGACTGCTGTCCTAGCTGATGGGACACCTATCAATCTTTTTTGGTGGGGGTGGGGAGAGTTGTGACAAAACTGATTTTGTCAAGGGGGCCTGTGTGCCATTAGCATCAGAACCTTGACAGTGACCATGTTTGGAGTTTTCTATTATATTCTACCTCAGAATAAAAGGAACTCATCTACTTCTATACTTTCAGGGAATTATCATGTTAAGATGAGGCTATTTTTCAGGGTGACTTATCAGGCTGAGAAACACTGATGGATTACAAAGTTGGTGCTGGTGATTTCCCTATGCATACCTGGACCTCTCCCATCTTTCTGCCTTTACACCTGAACAAACACAGGAGGCTTGGGGGAAGAAGAGCAAGTTGGGCAGGTATTGGATACACTCAGATGTGTGCTCCCACTTTTTATATTTCTGTCAAGTGCTAAGGGATTTCAGATTATATTGTTTAGTACATGCAGAAACCCTGTGGGCTACCTACCAGTATCCCTATTTACCAGATAAGGAATTGAAAATTCAG